TTGTCTTGTCCAACTTTGACAGAATGGAAGAAACGGTCGCATTTATTCTTTTCTTCCTCCAGCATGTTTTGGTTGATGCATTTTTGTCTGCTTCCAATACTAGGGCCCAGGGTTTTCTGGCATGGGCCATGCAAGGCCTGCTCAAATTTTGCAAACTGAATGCGGTAATGACCCAACGCTCTCGCGATTTGCAAGGCGATGAGAAATACCAACGCTGGATGGAGCTTCCGGAAAGTATTCGCAACACTCTTACGCCATTTCTCACATCTACCTATACGGTCACTGTTGTGACCAATCATACTGAGGTTAGCTATCCGCTCTTTTCCCCTAAATTGACTCACAGTGAGTGGCTTCGAACGCTGGTGCAAGATCTTCTACAAACTGGGAATGGAGACAACGCAAAAATGGTCTTTTCAATATCGAGTCGTGTTGTGAAGGGTCAAGATATTTCCATCTCTTCGTTCCTTTTACCATTTACAGTCCTGAACCGTATCGTGGGAGGGACTGAACAAGAACAACAAAATCTTCAAGACGAATTGATGAGTGTTCTTTCACATCCCATTCCGGAGACAAACAACAATGCTCGCGAGACAATTTTAAGCAGTAGCCAGGTGAGAATCCTCGTGGAATTTCACTAATTTTCCCAGTACTGACGATTTCCCTTTCTTCGATAGAGCGTGTTTGAAGTGCTAGACTATCTGTCTCGATGGTTACAAGGGAAGAAAAAGCATTTAAATGGCCTCAATCACAATTCCAACCATACGAGTCGTTCCCATAAAGGTCGAAACCGTGACGCGCTCATTGACAAATACTCATCGCAGATCAAGTCTGTCGAAAATCTCTTGTCCTCAATACCGCCCGAGATCATCTCTAAGCGAGCTGTTGAATGTAAATCATTCTCCAAGGCACTTTTCCATTGGGAACAGTACATTCGAAAATCCAAGGTTCACGGAGAATCACAAGAGAGATCCAGCCTCGAGCCTCTATACCAAAGATTACAAGACATCTATAGCCAGATTGATGAACCCGATGGAATTGAAGGTATTTCAAGCCACTTGTCCGCACTAGACATCGACCAGCAGATCCTTGAGCACCGGAAAGCTGGGAGATGGGCCACGGCGCAGAGTTGGTACGAGCTACAACTCGAGAAGGAACCTGACAACGTCGATGCGCAATGGAATCTTGTGACCTGTCTCAAAGAATCTGGCCAACAAGGTAAGATCAAACATGAGATAGTTTTTACATGCTCTGTCTTCTTGCTCACCATTATCTAGATGCTGTTCTCACTCGTTTCGAGGTTCTCAAAGAAAATGAGTCGGCGGCTTCACGGTTCCTGCCCTTCGCGGTTGAAGCTTCGTGGATAATGAGCAGATGGGACAAGCTAGAGGGATATCTTGACCTTCGTGCCAAACAAGGCACTGAAGAGTTCAATGTTGGGATAGGCTTGGCTCTTGATGCTCTTCGTCAAAAAAAAGACGAGTCATTTACTGATAAAATCAACGAGCTCAGGCTCAACGTTGCCCGGTCACTAACCACAAATTCGGTTGCCTCACTACAAGCATGCCATAATGACATGCTTCGGTTACATGCTTTGTCAGAGGTCGAATCCATTGCCAAAGCACAATCAGGTCAATCACGCTCGGGCTTGCTGGGTGCCCTAGACCGACGGTTGGATGTTTTGGGTGGCTACCTTTCCGATAAACAATACCTATTGGGATTAAGACGAGCCACAATGGAGCTAGCGTGAGTTCATAGTCTACAAAACACGAAATAGATAGCTAAAATTACAATACAGGGGCGAGTTTGCGGATTCTGATATATCCGCTGCGTGGCTCATCAGTGCTCGTCTTTCAAGGAAAGGCAACTTCAACAGTCAAGCGTATCACTCGATGCTCAATGCAGCACGGATGAAAGACAGATCTGCTTCCATAGAGCACGCGCGACTCCTTTGGAAGGATGGACACCATCGAAAAGCCATTCAGACTCTAGAGGGTGCGATTTCAGCCAACGAAGTTACGCCGAGTATATCTTCTTCAGTCGAAATTGAAGCCATGTCGTTTCTCTCTGGTCGTGGGCAGAATCAAAATGAGTCTACTGCTCTCGTAAGTTGCATACAGTTCACATGGACTAGAATACTAACGCGTCTAGGCTCATCTGATGCTAGCCAAATGGACAGACAGGGCTGGCCAGACCCACTCTCAGGCCATTGTTCAGAGATATCGAGAGGCCATCAAGCTGTATCCGAAGTAAGTTGGATTACTGCCGCTTTAAAATGGTCTTTTCTGATGGATAAACAGGTGGGAAAGGGCACACTATTACCTAGGGAAGCATTACAACAAAATTTTAGAGTCCGAGAAAGCTAAGCCTATGGGAAAGGAAGCTCAGATATAGTCAGTTGATCAGACCTGCTATTCCCTACCTGAGACTAACCAATATTACACAGCTTGAGTGGAGAAGCCACAAAGCTTGTCATTGACAATTACCTTCGCTCGCTGACATATGGGACCAAATATGTCTTCCAGACTTTACCAAAACTTCTGACCCTCTGGCTTGAACATGCCTCGATTGTTGAACAGCCCATTGACCCGAAGAGAGGCGATAACGAGTAAGAAAGAGTTTCGTGGTGTGGCCATTGGTAAATGTTTGCTAATGACCGATTCATCACACACTAGGGAATTTCAGAGGCATACACAAGCGCAACGCAAGAAGAGCCTCGGTGAGATGCATGCGCAACTGAAGAAGTTCATCGACAAACGCTTGCAAGCGGCTCTGGTGGGTTTACGAAATGTGATTTTCCCGAATAGCTAGCTAACAGTTGTAGCTGTTCACAATCCTACCACAAGTGGTTGCCAGAATCTGTCACCCTAACATCACAGTCTATGATCTGTTAACACGGATTGTGGCAAAGGCTGTTCATAATTTCCCACAGCAAGGTCTCTGGACAGTCCTTGCCGTTATCAAGTCCTCCAATAAAGAACGAACTAAAAGGGGTTATAATTGCCTACAGAAGATCATAGTACGTGTCGTCCGTCTGAAACAGAGTATGAGAGACTAACTTGTTCAGGACTACGGTAGCAAGTCAAAGGGGGAATCATCAACGGCGTCAGAAATCCATCGCATGATCACTGAAGGTACAAAGTTCTCAGAGGAACTACTCCAACTCTGCCTTGCTCCTGTGGAGGAAAAGTCATCTCGAGTTCAACTCGGCCGTAATCTAGGGTTTAATCATAAAGTTGCGCCATGCCGATTAGTGGTCCCTTTCCAGGCAATGTTGATCCCAAGTCTCCCTGCTAGTCAGAACACTGAATACATCAAAGGCTTCAGGGCCTTTCCTCGGGATCCAACAACCATTGAGGGTACGTTATTAGCTACCTATTCTCGCGGAGACAAACTAACCGAAATTAGCTGTTTTGGATGAAGCACAGATTTTGAGCTCGCTTCAAAAGCCACGCAAGATCAGCCTACGAGGATCTGATGGGAAGATCTATAACGCACTTTGCAAACCAAAAGATGATCTACGCAAGGATCAACGTCTCATGGAATTCAACAACATGATCAACCGGTTCCTAAAAAGAGACGTTGAATCAAGCAAGCGGCGCATGTGTAAGTGATTTGATGAACTTTGGGCAATTCCAAAGGCTGACCCGCCAATAGACATCAAGACATACGCTGTGACACCTCTGAATGAGGAATGTGGTCTTATTGAATGGGTTGATAACCTCCGCACAATGAGAGATATCATCATCAAGTTGCTACGAGAAAGAGGCATTCAACCGAACGTATGTACACCACATCTAACACAATACTCGGACTGTGGTATTAATGTATGCAATAGTTCCACGAGATCAGGGATGATTTGAACGAAATCTGCGCTGATCGAACCTTCGCAAAGTTGCCCTTATTCACTACTAACATCCTGGCCAAGTAAATCTTCCGTGTCAATCACCCGTGAGTCCAGTGTACTGACAGTTGCAGGCTCCCGCCGGTTCTTCATGAATGGTTCATCGAAATGTTTCCTGAGACAGAGTCATGGTTCACAGCGAGACTAAGGTATACACGGTCTTCTGCCGTGATGTCAATGGTGGGATATGTTCTCGGGTATGTTCTCTCGCCATTTAATGTTTTGAGGGCCCTCCATCTGCTTTCGCCTAATCCTTAGAGTTCCATCGCGCTAACCAGTTTTCTTTTCTACACAAGTCTGGGCGATCGACATGGCGAGAACCTTTCATTCGAAGAAGGAACAGGCGGCCTCCTACATGTTGATTTTAACTGTCTCTTTGACAAGGGTCATACGTTCGAAAAGCCCGAGGTGGTACCATTCCGATTGACTCATAACATGGTTGATGCCTTTGGCGCTTACGGGTACAATGGTTAGTTTGAAGATATCCTCGAGTTTTACTCCTACGCTAATCTCCAAGGTATAGGTCCCTTCAGAAGGACTTGTGAGATTACACTTAGCCTGCTGCGACAAAACGAGGATGCCTTGATGACTGTACTCGAGACGTTTTTGCATGATCCAACAACTGATTTCATTGGGAAGAGAGTGAGTACATTTCAACACCGGTTCCCAGCAAGTAGCCTCCTAACAAGTCTCTCTTTATCCTAGCGGCGCACCCATGTAAATGTCCCGGACACACCGGCTGGCGTTTTGGAAGATGTTCGAAACAAACTCCGCGGCTTCATGTCTAAGCAGCCCATTGCACTTTCGGTGGATGGTCAGGTGGATGAATTGATCATACAAGCAACGGATAAGAAGAAACTGGCGTCAATGTACATCGGATGGTGTTCGTTTTTCTGATGATTTCTCTTATTGCAGGTGATACATTCTATCCAAGTCATGCATACAAAATTGTAGTCCTACCATCCTCCCCTGTTTCTTTGCTTCTACCATATATTACTTAACTAGTGGTATATCCTATTATACATACTGACTACCTAGAGGAATCCTGTAATCCTTACATTTCAAAGTGGCAGTGGAATTTGTTGACTATTGCGTAGAACTAGCTACTCTGGATATCTTGCGATAGAATTCGGTTGCCGGCACCAAAGATCAAACGTAATCCCCCGCTAGAGCTGAACCGATACACAACAAGGAACGGTACCGCAAAACTCTCGCTGTTAATTTCGATTGTGCCCTCGGTTCCGGTTTGGACTGCGACTTCGACTGCTGTAACCATAGCTGCTGTAGCTTGGGCTCCGGCGCCGGTGATGTCGCGATTCTGTACCAGGACTACCTCTGCGCAGCGCCGGTGAGCGAGATCGAGAGGAGTATGACCGAGAACGAACAGGAGATCGTGATCTTGATGCAGTCTTGGGCCTATAAATGTCATGGCGTTCTGTAGGTCGACCGCCTCCGTGCCGTCTGGGAGGAGATGATGGGCCTGCATATGGGACTCGGCCGTATCTGGGGCGGCCGCCATTCACTCGATTCGACGCAGGGGGTGGCGAGCGTGAGAATTTACGGCGAGGAAGAACGATTGAGACATTTAGGATGGCCCCGTCAAGCTGAGCCTCGTGCATGTGGGCAATGGCTGCCTCCGCATCAGCGGGGTCGTAATAAATGATATACGCAGTTCCCCTATTTGTCATGACTGTAAGAGTGTTAGGAGACATACAAATCTGGAATCGCGAGTCAACAAGCGAGTCTTACAAGCTTTGTTGATTGGAAGATCGAGGTACTCTATCTCTCCAAAACCCCCGAAGATCTCTCGAATGTGGTTTTCTGTGACATTCTTTGTCAATTTTTCTACCACGATCTGTTAAGGAAAAGGGGAATCAGCTTTCAATTTCATAGATATGGTATCCGCCACTGGGTGGGACAGCTATATCACAGCAGGAATAGATTGGCACTTACCTTAGAACTTCTCGGAGGGCTAGCGTTGGGTGTAATTGAGCGGCTTTCGCTCCGGCTATTGTGACGGCGACCAGCTCGGCTGGGACTGCGAGATCGGGTTCTGCCACGAGACGGGGATCGGGATCGGGTTCTTGAACGATAGCGATCGTGACGTCCTTGTGATGGACTTCGTGTGAGGCTTCGGGATGGGCTCTCACTTCGAGGTTTAGAACGATGTAAAGAACGGGACCGTGCTTGGTCCTGTTCTGGTGAACGGAGAGGTGATTGTCCACGAGCTGGTCTCGAGGACATGTTGAAGATTTAGCGCACGGCGCGCTAAATGGATCACAGGGCTTCAAGTGGTACAAATTGGATATGTAGAGGAAGTAGCTAGGTAATGGGGAATTGGAATATGAAAGTCGAAAGAGATAAAAAGGAAGAACTTAGGATATTATGCCAAGAGAGAGAAAAGAGAAGAGGAGGTTTGAGGGAAGGGATGTTATGCATTTTGGCACTAACTTGATTCGGTAATCACCTAGGGACACTTTATACGAACTTCAACTCTCTTTAAATGGCTTCAAGGACTTATAGCTCGTATTATACAGTAAAGTCTACATATATAGGTATTTACTTATAGCCCTCTCTCCATCTCTCATACTCTTGGATGACAGTATCCGTGATTTGCCGCCGCACTTGTCCCAGTGCATATTGGAAATGTTTCCACTGCACGTCTTGCTCCTGCTGAGTTTCCTCCTCCTCATCGAGTGCTGCATCTCCTGCAGTTTCACAGATGCTCACAATCTCGGCACCAGAATAGCCCTCGGTCAGAGATGCCAGATTATCCAAGTCGACATCTGGGTTCACCACAGACTTCTTGGTCCAGATGCGCAGGATTTCCCTACGCGCCTCAAAGTCGGGAGGGCCAATATAAAGAATATTGTCCAATCTCCCTGGTCGCATCAATGCAGGGTCTAAGACATCGGGCTTGTTTGTTGCAGCAATGACCAACACGTTTCGGAGCTCCTCAATACCGTCCATTTCGTTTAGCAAAGTCGTAAGAACATTGACACCTCCCGAAGTACTGCTGCGTCGAGCAGCAATGGCATCAATCTCATCAAAGAATATGATACTTGGTCGTGCTGCTCGGGCCTTTCTGAAGATCTCTCTCAATGATCGCTCAGACTCTCCAACGTACATGCTGAGAATCTCTGCGCCCTTGACTGCCAGGAAATTCAATCCCGCCTCTGTGGCTAGGGCTTTGACTGTCAGTGTCTTGGAACAACCTGGAGGCCCATAAAGTAGAACACCCTTTTTACTATTCACGTTAAGTCTGCGCATCCGTTGAGGATACTAAGGGTTGAAAGGCGAAATTAGTCTTGAAGGCAAGGGTTTTCTGGTATTCGAATATAAATCTCACCTTCAGGGGTCGCTCAACGGCTTGCTGGAGGCGCTTTTTAATATCATGCTGTCCACCAATGTCCGACCATCTCACCTTTGGAGTTTCCAAGAATACTTCCCGCATGGCCGTGGGACGGATTTCCTGCAGGGAAAGCAAGATATCTGTTTCTTGTATCTCCAATGAGATGGCCAATTCATCATCGCTGGAACCTCCATGGAGCGAGCTATACGGGTCGATCGGGCTGGTCGATATGACTGTGGAACTTTGGTCCAACAGTTGTCGTTGTCGGGCTTTGCGACAGACCAATTGCAGGAGGGCAAAAAGGTCAGCTCCAACGTATCCGTGTGTCTTTTCTGCTAGTATTTCTACTAGCTCGTCGGTCAAACCGGCAGATACTGGCCCTCGAATGGCATGTAGTATTTCAGCTCGGTCCTGAGCGGTAGGGACTTGTATCTCAATTTCTGTTCCAAGTCGATGAGGCGTTCTGAGGGCGTCATCGACTTGATTGGGATTTCTTGTTGCGGCCACCACGAGAATCGATTTATTTCGGATAGCATCTAGATTCTCGCAAAGGACAGACGCAAGGGACTGAGATTCAACCGAGGTTCGCTTAGGGGCAATAAATTCCAACTGGTCGATAATGAGGACACTGGGGTTAGAGCGAGCCGCCTCCTGAAAGATATTGCGCAGCTTAACCTCGCCCTCATTGACACTTCTCCCCAAAGTTGACATGCCAATTTTGAATGTTTGCTTCCAGCCGGCCTTTTCGATCTGTTCCAGAAGACTTGTTTTTCCAGTCCCCTTTGGTCCATAGAGTAAAATCCCTCTGCTGTTCTCGTAGAATGATGGCATCGCTGGCTTCCGCAGATCAATGTTAAAATCAGACAAGCATTCATTGATGTCGTCAATTTGGCGAGAGAGGCCTCCAAGACCAGTGGATTGCACGGCTATGTCTGAGGACTTTTCTTCTTTTCTTTCTATGACTGGGCCAAGGGAAACCTTCGAAGCCTCTGTGAATTGAAAAAGTGTATGACGAGAGTGAGGGTTCTGTGAATGAATGTTAACCACTCGAAAACTCCTAGGTTGGCCCTTGAGCTCCAGCTCAAAAGCCAAGCCCGTCGTCAAACACCCGCATCGGAGAAGCTTTTCATCCAAGGCCCATTCCCAGTGGGATCTGTCACTTTCTGAAATTGAGCCATGTTTGGCAATTTTCTCGGGATCTGAACAGTCCGCCAATGTCACTAGGTCGATATTTTCTAGCGAGCCTTCAGCCCTGGTGATAGAAACTTTTTCTCCGATCTTGATGTCATAGCAGTCTTGCAGTGTCCTTGATATTTGCATGACGGTGCTCTGGATGTTCTCTGACGCATACCATGCTATGGCAGTCTGCGGCGGCCCATCGGCTTGCCTCAGCGTGCAGATGCTCTCTGTTTGAAGCCTTAGCGCAGCTAACGAAGAGGAAGATAGATAGACACGGAATGCATCTTTGAAGTCCTTGCGTGCCTGCTGCTTTGACAATGGACGAGCAGTGAAACTGCGGGCGTCAGACATGATATGAGAAAGGACCTTGACGTGTTTGTAATGAAAGTTGATTGGTATTTTCTCTCTCTCTGTTTCTCTTCTATGTCGGATATGTTAAAATCCTGAGAACATGGGCGGATTTTACTGTATAAGACTCCCAGCACAGAAAGTCTTCCGGGTTTTTTGGTGGGGGAGGGGCAACTTCGGGGGAGGGGAACAATGGGATTGAACGAGATTGTCCCAATTGTGTGATAAAGACCTCAATCTTGGGTCTATTCATGAACTTCGAGATGAAAAAACTATAAAGAAGATTATCCAAGGGAGAAAAGAGAAAGAGGGAAAAAAAAGAAATAATGGAAAGATTCAAGAAAAGTGGGTCGTCCGGTTCAAGCTACATTATACCTGCAATGTACCTACAATGTACTATAGGATCGGATAGAAAAGTATACAAACTACGTCAAGGTATCACAGGATATGGACAAGTTTGTATGATACTCGAATGTCCATAGGCGCCAACTCTTCGGGCATAAAACTTGGACATTCAGATCTTGGCACATGATAATGTAGCGAGTAAAACAAAAACGAGATATCGACGGAAAAGAAGAAGCGCGGGGGGAAATAAGAAACATGTGGTAGCTTAAAACACGGCGACGGGGGAGATCATGGGCAAAAGACAAAGGGTAGTGATACAACAACTAACAACACTTGCCCCCAGAGTTGCCATTCGGACCGGAGCCTTGCTGGTCTATATTGACGCCCTGGGAACCAGATTGTTCGGTCTTGGAAGTGTCCATCCCTTTCTTGATATCCGATGCAAGGCTGTAGAACGCCTTCTCAATGTTGATGTTGTTCTTGGCCGAAACCTCCAGGAAGGGAATGCCGAGTTCATCGGCGAGCTGCTGGCCTTGTTCAATAGAAACCGCCCTTTTTTCTTCCCAGTCGCACTTATTTCCGATGAGAATCTTGTGTACACCTTCACTGGCATGTTGCTCGACGTTTGAAAACCAGGTCCGAATGTCTAAAGAAAGAAAAAAGGTCAGACATAATTGGGAGAGAGAGCGGGCGGGTCTTACTTTGGAATGATCGTTCATCTGTCACGTCGTAGACCAACAGAATACCCATGGCACCTCGGTAGTAGGCCGTCGTGATGGTGCGAAAGCGCTCCTGGCCTGCAGTGTCCCAGATCTGCAACTTCACTCTCTTGCCGTCCAACTCGATCGTACGAATTTTGAAGTCAATCCCGATTGTAGTGATGAATGATGGAGTAAAAGAGTCTTCGCTGAATCGCAGTAGACAACATGATTTACCCACGCCTGAGTCCCCGATCAACAACAGTTTAATCTATGACAAAGTTAACACTGTTGGGGCTTTATAGGGAAATTTGTCGAATTTTGGACAGCCATGAATACTAACCAGGAAATCATAATTCCGTGTGCCAGCCATTATCGATTATGGCAATACTTGAGTGGAAATTAAGCGCCAAAGCTAGTAGTAGCACCGTGGAGGATGGATAGGAGACCGAGGTGGTCCGGAGATTTGTCAAGTCGGGTGACAAGGGGTATTGGTTTTGATCAAGTGGTTTAGGATGTAAAGTGGGAGTAGTTGTTGCAGGATGAATCCGATCAAGTGGTTTAGGCTGATGGTTTTCACTTCGCGAGTACTTATCA